AAAAAAAATTTCTTTTAAAAAACTCTTCCACCGTTTCTCTTCTTCTTCCTCTTCCTTTTCTTTGTCTTCCTTTATTCTTCTTTCCCGTCTTCTTTTATTATTTCGTCCTCCGTCTTCGTCTTCGTCCTCTTCTTCTAATCAAAAATTATACCGACTATTCTCGATGTTGACTTCGTTTGATCGACTGGAAAACTGCATGTATGTATATATACATATATATATATATATATACACATATATATATATACGCGTGTGTCGTTATGTATTTCGCGCGTTTAGCCTTTTCAAGATCGTTCGACGTCAACAGTCCAATCGGTTCGACGGTCCGCTACAGAATGAGCACGCTGAGAGGGGGGCGACCGTGTTGGTAGGTGTTTGACGGCGCCTAAGAGTGGGGGGTAAGGTACGGAAGACGATTGGATGATCGCGAGGCGGGACTGCTACTACGTCATGCCTTACCATTGATTTTCCAATGTTGATACACACTACGGCATGTGACGTCGTGGTGTTTCAGATTGATTTTTTTTATTTTCTTTTTTTTATTTTTTTTTGTTCTACGTGAGATTCTTCTGGATCCCCAGGTAAGAATAGTAATTAAGTACTTATAGATATAGAATAAAAAAATATATATATATACATATACACGTAACTAAACGTGTCAAAAAGTGGAATTAGGATTGATCAGGTTAAAGTAATCATTAAGTATACCTTAGGATCATTTTTCAATTTTGATACGATACGACGCTTCGAAACTTGTACTTACCTTGATCGATGCGACCAGAATAAACGACTTCAAGGTCAAAATTTAATCTCGTCGCGACTTTAATAACTCCTAATAGGACGAAATAGATACAGATCGTATAAACAAACGATATCTATATACATTACAGGATTTATTTTTTTATTACTATATTAGTCGGAAGGAAAACAAAATATGAAGAAATCATTCAATTATCATCAAAACAGATTTCTTTTTAACAATGATCGCGATAGATCAAGGTAATCTTACTTACATCTTACGTAATAACGTGAATAATAATTCAATGGCATTGCTCTGTTAAAATGACATCCCTTGCAATCAATATTCTTATAGAAATTCGTATCTATTTGCGAGATTCTAACATTCGATAATATAACAATTGTAGGAAAGACGAGACGTTAATCGCGTACGCAAATTGCAGATTTCTACTATTATCTACTGAAATGTTGCGATGGTAAACTTGTCTCAAATCTTTATTGAATTAATATTTTTTATTTTAAAAACATCGATAATAGATATCTAACAATTTATTTTATCCGATCGTGCATTAAAAATCGTAAAATATCATAATTATTTAGTTGTAAATTATTGATAATTTATCGACTCAGTAAAATAATAGACACAATATTTTTTTAACGTGTTACCACTTATCGATAAAGTAGGTATCTCTAGTACATATATAAAATGTTATAATTGCTTTCTTTTTTTCTCTTTTACAAATTATGTGACATAAATCAAGAACTAAAACCAAAAAAATATTGCTATCAGAAATAATAAGTTAAATATATGAAATGAAAAAAACAACCCGTAATCATTTTATTATAATTAATTCTTTTTGTAAATATAACAAATGTACACGCATATCGGAAATTACAATGTCCTATACTCAAAATAGAATAAATATTTTAATCTGAAAATACATCCACTTTCGAACAACGAAAGACTTTTTAAATGTATATAGCAAATATTTATTAAAAAAATATAACTTGAAATAGACTCCAAATATTACCTTTCGCTTTACTATGTATGTATGTATGTATTACAATGGCAATTGTGTATTTTGTACGCTTAATTGATAATTAAAACATTCAAGTCTTACCATAGTCCTGCTATAGTAAGACACGAGTATTCGGATATTATTCTAATATAAGTAAATCAATTTGTTGCGTACATTTAAACGTTAATATAAATACATGTATGTACCGTATGTATGTATCGTTTTGTATACACATATATGCCTGCATATAAATAACAATCAATAATATTTACAAGGAATGTATGATTGGAAATACTTTTGCGACATATTTTGTTAACACAAATTTGAACGTACTTAAATTCTTTTTCTGTTTTCAATAGCATAAATGGCCCTAATAAAAATGATACGAATATATTATATAAAGTATTTGTAAAATGATTATATGCATTAATATAATAATCAAGATATAGACATGTAGAGTAAAATTGGCAGCTTATACAAATTAAGGATAAACCTACGCTATTATGTGCGATGTAATGGATGGATAATAGTTCCCAAGTTAATTTAATATCAAAGAAAATAAATATTGCATTAAGATGGTTTCTCAGTTGGTATTGGAATGCCAAAATAGGCTCTGAGTTGTTCAAGAAAGAGAAAAGTGAGAACCGTTTGAGGAGCTAGTCGTATAAATGCTGGTACATAGCCCTGTAATAATTTTTAATCAATACATAATAACATTAAATATTAAATAAATATTATTATTACTTTTTACCGACATAAGTTTTATATTTGGACTTACCTTAAAGAAAGCCAGTGGTCCAAGCTTGGCAGTATATAAAAAGAGATCTGCAAAATTCTATAAAATAAAAAAGAAAAAACAAAATATAAAAAATATTAATCATTAATATTGATGCTAAAACCATATAAAATATTAATATAAATACCAACCTTGAATTCTCCAACCTTTGCATTCATTGCACGCGTTTTTAAAACATCCAATGGTTGTGTTAGTGTTGTAGCTACAGCACCCTTATATAACAAAAATAACTAATAAGTAAAAGTAGAAATAAGTAATATATGGATAATAAAATGAAAGTAAAAATATTAGATCTTACTGCGCATACGCTTGAAATTATGTGGGTGGTAGGATTATCTGTAAAGTAACCACTTGTTAATAAAAGTATTTTAATCTGATCATAAAAACTCAATTGTCCTATGGTCATTAATATTGCTCTTCCAGTTGCAGTAGAACAACCATTAAATAAACGTTGTACACCTTCTTCTTGAATTACTCGAATTAATCCATTTATAGCATGTTTGTAACTGTATAATAAAACAAGAAAAAAAATTGTTTAATTAATTTCTTATTTTTGCTGTTTGTACTCTTCATGAATATTATTACTATTAAATAAAAGTTACATTTTTTTCATTACTTACTTTCTCCTAAGGTTTGGCGCTAACTTAATGTCATTTTGCATACGCACATTAATCAAATCTCCTGGAGTACCCACGATTCCACCAGCAGCACCTGCACATCCAGCCAAAAGCAGCTTTTGATAAAACGGCGTAGGATTCCCAGGTGTTTCTAATGCCTGCTTAGCTACCTAAATAAAATATATACATATATATACATATATAATAAAATATATACATATATACTACCAAAAATAAAATATATACATATATCATCTATAAATAACTATTTTTATATACTCATGAATTTTTGCAAATAAATAGAAAAAAGAAAAAATAATATGTGTACCTCGTAAGCTCCAAATCTTGTTGTAGAATATGTAAGTTGACGAAGTAAAGATGCAGTAAGACCATTATATAAAGCCAAAATACCGTCCCTTTTTATTATCGCAATAGTAGAACGCATTACAGATATTTTACCTTCTTGTTGAGTTTGCATATGTACCTGCAGTTTTATCACTATTTTATTTTTATTTTCCTTCTTGTTGTATTTAAAATAATTTAAAATAATACCTTGAGCAAATCTAATGGATGTGTAACACAAGCAGCGCCAGCAGAAGCAAATCCTCCAAAATACCAACGAGATAATTTTTGTATCTCTGTCATTTTGTCCTTCTTTTGAATTGTAACTATGAATAAAAAAACAAAAATCAATATAAAAATTAATATAAAGATAGGATTGAGCTAAATAATAAATATATAAAAAATTATATAAACAGACTTACACTTTTTTTTCTTATATATAACATTTATACATTTTCCAATAAATTCATGATGTTTAATTTAAATTAAATAATAATTTGAGATGTGCATATATATATATGATGCTGAAAATATATAATACATGATTAATTAGAATAACAATTTGGTGATAAACATGATAAAAGAAATAAAAATAAATGCATATGATCGTCATGCAATATGGAAAACATGATTTTTGAAAATATTTCATCCTTCAATAATTAAATTATATATATATATATATATATATATATATATATATATATATATATATATATACATATATATGTGATAAATGTGTATATTTATATATGTATATATATATGATAAAAAAATAGATTTTTAAGTAGAATATCACTAACAAATTCGATAAAAATTTACTTCTTTCATGTCACTTTTTCATATCACTCTTTTAAGCATATCTATAATGAGTAAGGTCATAAAAGTTATAGCATGTTTTTATAAAATAGAAAGATAAGAAAGATGATAAAAATAGATTATCACAAAACATGTGATATATACGCGTGCTAGAATAGTCATATATACATATATATATTATTATATATATATATATGATCTATAATAAACCAAGTATATAAAAAAAAATATTTTATATCAAATAGAGAATATAATAATTTTATAAAATGATATGAACAAACAAACATACTCACACACGCACACGTACACACAATAAATGTTTACTTAAGAGTATATATATATATATATATATATATACATGTATGTTTCATATGATATAAAATAAAGAGAAAATGAAAATTATGCTTACAATTCGTTTTGATGATAAAGAAAATTACATGTCACTACGAGCGGATATCCCTGGAGGGGAAGTGAACTCCAACTGACGTAATCTATTCGCGGTATTCGGTACAGTTCATATGGTCAAACTCCAGAGCTGCGTGGCTTATATATTTATATATATACATATATATATATATATAAATATGATATGTGGTATGTCATGATAAGAGAAGCGCACGCATCAGCTGATGGTCAACATGTGCGTAACACATATAATACATATATAGCAAGTGCGCGCGCTGGAACTTTATTTTGGCACATGTTACCCTGATTAAAAAATTATTTTTAAAATGTCTATATATTTGTCTACGTCAATAATAATATAATTTAATAATATTGCAAACTAATTTTATTTATTTTTACTTCGATGACAACGACTTAAATGTGAACCATAAAACGTTATTTATTTCTACGTTGTAATATTTCATTAAAATAAATATACATACGTCTAATGATAATATTTTGATAAGTCACAAATATAATAACCTAATCGAATTAACGTTCGGTGATTCTTTTTTATTCTGGTTTGTTTTTTAATTAATTAAAAAAAAAAAAAAAAAAAAAAAAAGAAAAAACAATCGATACGATACGTTCAATTGTTTCATATTATTTATTTATTAAAAAAGGATGCAAGGTAAAAAGTAATGGCGCGAAATTATATATTTGATTGCAATACGCTAATGGCGCCATCTGAGAGATGAAACAACTGGCATTGTTAACAAGTTTTTTCGACAGAGGTTATGGTTTTCAATCATCTGATCTAAGTTTTTTTATTATTATTATTGTTCTTCATATAAAAATAATAATTTATATGATAATTTATTGTTTATATTAAATTATGCAATTCAGATAAATTCATTTGCAAAAATGAGTAATGTTTATATTCAAGAACCTCCTACAACAGGAAAGGTTAGTTAATATTCTCTATTGTATGAATGAATTAATTGAATTGATCCTTTTTTATAAATATTTCTTTATTTTATAAGGTTCTAATGAAAACATCCGTTGGAGATATAGAAATAGAATTATGGGCAAAGGAAACTCCAAAAGCTTGTAGAAATTTTATTCAATTATGTATGGAAAATTATTATGACAACACTATATTTCATAGAGTTGTTAAAGGATTCATAGTTCAAGGTGGAGACCCAACAAGTACAGGAGAAGGTGGTGAAAGTATATATGGTTCTCCCTTTAAGGTACAAAATAAAGTTAATCTATGATAAAATGAGAATATCTATTAAACATGTAAATTTTAGGATGAATTTCATACAAGATTAAGATTTTGTCGCAGAGGCTTGCTTGCCATGGCTAATGCCGGCAAAGATGACAATGGCTCACAATTCTTTTTCACACTGGCTGCTACGCCAGAATTACAAAACAAACATACTATTTTTGGCAAAGTTATCGGAGAAACTTTATACAACATGCTTAAACTTGAAGAAGCTCTTGTAGATGAGGTAATGTAATTATATATATTTAATTGAAAAAGTCATATAAAGATAAATAAATATTTAATTATCATTTTATTTTTTAGAACGATAGACCTCTTTATCCACAAAAAATATTGAAGACAGAAATTCTAAACAATCCATTCGCGGATATTTCACCGCGAATAGAATCTAAAAAGAATAATGATCTGAAAGAAAGTAAGAAAGAAAAAAAAGCTGGAGTTAAGTAAGCGCCATAAAAATTTTTTAATATTTCGCTTAAAATATATTAACATCGAATATTGTGCTATATATAAGGTAAAAGCAAATACGCTTTTTTTTATAATCAATATAATGATTATTTTCACAGAAATTTTAAGTTATTATCTTTTGGAGAGGAAGCAGAAGAAGATGAAGAAGAATCTGTAATTTTGAATAAGCAATTAAATAATAAATCCAAATCAGCACACGATTGTTTGTCAGATCCTAAATTAAGTTCACAACCTGTAACTGATTCCACTGAACCACCAAATAAAAGATTAAAGGAATGTGATGACGTTGATTCAGAAAGTGACAATGATACATCCCAATCTTCTGAGACAATGGCTGCCATAGCAAAAGAAAAATCGTGAGTTGAAATAACATATTAAAAAAAAAAAATAAAGAGTAATACTATTTAATATCATTTAACTTATTTCATTAATCTTATTTAATACTTATAGAGAAGTAACCGAAAGAATCAAAAATAAATTGAAAGGAGGTAAAAAGACAAGTGATTCCAAAGAGACTGAACCTACTAAAGTAACTGATAATGATAATGTAGAAGAAGAGGAGGAATATTATTTTGGGAAAGAACTACATGAAGAACGTAAAAGAAAAATGTACATACATATACATATAACACAATTGCAATTATTATTTTATAATATTATATGTAAACTTACTATTCTATTTGTGATAACAGGAATGCAATTAAAAAAGAAATCCGTGACTTGAAGCGCACTGTTCAAAACGAAAAGAAAGAAAAAGAAGCAGATAAAAAACTTGAGGACGATAAAGAGGAACAGAAAAGAAAACAAAGTGAAATATTGAAGGATTATTTACAAACTCAAGAGGAATATAAAAAAGCTAAACAGAAATTACCTGCAAAGGGCAAAACGCGTGAGGATTTTACTTTAAACCTTCTAAATAAATTCAGGAATAAACTTCAGGACACTAAAGAGTGTACAAAGGGTAACACAAGTACAACAAAGGAAGAAGAATCTAAGGACGATGGGGATGACGAGTTATGGATGGCACATATCTTGCGTTGCGAAGAAAAAGCCCCAGTACTTGCAAAAGATGCTAGTACGAAGAATGATGATTGGTTTGAAATTTATGATCCACGAAATCCACTTAATAAACGTCGAAGAGGAGAATCAACAAATAGCTCGAAGGATAGTAAAAAAGATAAGAGTCATTCACGGCGAAGATAAATATAAATATATACATATTTTTTTTATTTGTAAAATAACATTAACTATATATGTTATATTGTATATAATTATAGATTATATCTCCTTTTTTTTTATCCTTTTATTTATATTTGTTACAATTGTATTTTCACCAATTTGATCGGACATTAAATCGTCGCATTGCATCCTTTAGGAAATAGCGCCACGTAGCGCTAAATTCACGAACTTAGGAAAACCCTGAATATTTTCTAATGTAGAGTTTTAATAGATCAACTAATTATTTCATTTTACTATAAAAGGATATCTTTAGTATCTTCTAGTATTTTTTAGTATGAAAGACACTTTCAGGATCTGACAAATTTTAGAAAAAAAAAAAAACTGGACTTACTATTAGGGAGAATTCATTGAACACATCTGACACCACTGTTTTCTAGTTCTCTTAGTTTAGACGATGACAAGCCATCATGGCACGCGGTCGGAGGTGTGTTTTAAGTCATATAACAAATTTATCGTGATAATACAAACTATGCCTTCTTTATATTAATTCCTTTTTTTTAATTTAGTTTATACGTTTTTCCGCATAATTTTCTGTGTTTCATTGATTAAAACCAAAAAAAAATAAAATAAAATAAATTAAAGACAATGGTGAAATTAACAGAAGAAATGATTGTGGCACGTACACGAATGTCCGATTTTTCTGCCGTAAAGAAGCTCAATTGTTGGTATGCATTAAAAACAACATACTTTTTTCCCCCCTTAAATAAATCATCATTATAAATAATTGAATATAAATTAACTAATCAATTTGAAGTTTTTTGTATGATTGTGATCACTATAACGGAGTGATCTTATTTCCAACTGATTTTCATATACTATAAATTTGAGCTATTAGATATATATTATCGTAAATAGTAAAATAATATTTAAGAAATATTTAGAAAATTAAATAATTGAAAGTTAGTTTATATTTATAATTTATATTAACAATACATATATATATATATATATATATATATATATATATATATTAACGTAGAAGTCACAAATTCTTAGACATAATAATACATTAATGATATTAATAGCATTCCAGGTCTGCTTCGTAAACTTATTTTGTATCATTTTATTTTAACATACTAACATTTCTATGAGAGAAAGGCAGACAAATCAAGAAACTTATTATTTTATATAATTTGTTGATCAAAAATGTTTATTTATTAATAAGGCTATGATATAAATAAAATAATATTAGAATTAATACTTTTATTGTAGGGGATCAGAATTAACAGATGTAAGCATTTTACGTGAAATGGAAAATGTGGAAGTATTATCATTAAGGTAAATTTTTTTATAAAATAATTTATATATGTGGGTGTGTACATATATATATATATATATATATATATATATATATGTACGTATGTATGTATGCATGTATATTGTAACAATGCACATTGAATAATAATTTAAAATAATGAAATTAGAGAGATCAAAAAATAACAACAAAATAAAATTTAGTAAGAAATATAAAATGGTTGGGTTACATAAAAATATAAAAATTATAAAATCGAATGTAATATTTTAATCGTTGAATTTGAAATTTAAAAATTTTTATGCGAAGGGAAATCATTAAATTTACTTACATTTAAAAATCTTATTATTTGGAAAATGTTAAATTCGGTATTAGACGAAGGAAAAAAAAATAAGGTTAAATCGAAATTTCGAAGAGATATCTATATCGATTCGTAGAATTAGGTTAATTTTTCTAAATACCTACATACAAATTCAAGGAATACGGTGCAACTATTGACACGCGATCGCGGGACTTCATAAGAAATCGACAAAGAGTGAGATAATCCATTTACCGCAATAAAAGCCAATTTAAAAGAATTCTGATGTGTTATTGCAAATCTTGTCCTTTTCTTTTTCTTTTTTTTTTTCTTTCCTATCAATCTTGAAATTCACAAACAATTAGAATTATTAGAATTCAGATTAGCTAAGTGAAATGTTACAATATATACATATAACATAGTCTAACTAACCTTTTGTTTATATTATTTAGATTGTATTAATATAACATAAATGTATTAATATAAATAATTATTAATTTATATTTATATAAATTTATTAATATAAGTAACTATTTAATTTTATTAATACAAATAACTATTAATACAATCATAAAAAATATTTCTATTTGAAACTAAACTTTTATATTATATGAAGCAACAATGATTGTCGTCCACTGCTACTATGGACATGTTTGGTATACATGTGTACAGTAATATATACCACCTACAACAATAAAACCTGTTCCACCCACATAACTAATTTTACATGTAACGTCATAATGTAAATGTTAATCATACGTATTTGTAGTTTCTTGTTTATTAAAATTAATATGAATGTATAATGCATGCAAATTTTAAGTTTTTTTCTTTTGTTTTTTTTTCTTTTTACTAATTATTCATATTATTTTGCTATAGAGCTATATATCAAACTTTATGTATTTTTATTTGCAGTGTGAACAATATTGACACGCTTGCTGATTTTCAATATTGCCACAATTTGCGAGATCTATTTATTAGAAAAAATAATATTAAAGATCTGAATGAAGTTTGTTATCTTCAAGAGTTACCCAATCTAAGGAATTTATGGCTTGGCGAAAATCCTTGTGCGGAAAAAGAAGGGTACATGTTTTGTAAAATTATTTATGCATGCACTTTTTCGACCAATCACTATTTTACAAATGTATCGTTATAATAATCTGATATGAATAATTTAATAGATATCGATTGACTGTTCTTCGAGCTTTACCAAATCTGGAAAAGCTAGATGATAAAGTAGTAGCCCCGGAAGAAGTGCAAACTGCATTGTCAAGAGGCCGAGTACTTGTACATCCACTTGATATGGATGCATCTCCACCACAATCAGAAATGATTAGTCCAGAGGTAAAAATAAAAAAAGATAATCATATATACTTAGCATGATTCATTTCAATTATGAATTTTTTAACTACCTCATAAAAAATCTTAACATATTAAATAAAGCATAAAAGGTACACTTGTGTTAAAACTAATTATGTATTTATTATAAATATAATATTGAAAAATGTCACTAACAAATTTTATGATGTTTGTTAACTCATTACAAATAAGGAAGTACCTGTTGAGTATATTGAAGAAACACGTGTGGAAAAACATAGGAGATATAGTTCATCTAGCGACCAGGTAAAGTGTTTCTAATTCATTTACATAGTTTATATTTTTCTCTAAAACCTGCTTTTAACTTGTCAATATCACCTTTCTTAATTATTTTTATCTGAGAATTATAAAAAAAATAAAACTAATATTCTTTTAGCTCAGTATTGTTTACCATATACAAATGTGATATAATCTTTTTTCAGAGAAGTTATGATGAAATGCATCACACACAAGAGGAGTATCATGATCCTGACAGAAGAAATGCTAATTGTAAAACATTACCTCATCATTATGCTCAAACCAATCAATACACATATGAAGTAAGTTTATAACTTATAAAAAATGTTGTTAATTTATGATTAAATTAGTTAGAAAGAAATTGAAATAACATGTAATTTATGTGTTCTGACTATATCTTTTATTTTTACTATTTGAATAATGTTATACTAACAGCTCCATAATGGGCAATCAAAAAGTCAGAATAAAGATGAGAACATGTGTACAGAATCACGCAGTTACATTGAGACTGTGGCTACTAACACTATTGATATACCTAAGGTATTGTTATAGCAACTGCACATAATTTGCCGAATGCAATTATTCATCTAGACAAATTTGTAGTAGTACATAACAATGCCATAACAATTTGATTTAACACTATAGTCATGCAGAACATTAAAGTCATAACATAAAAATTAATCATTTTAGATTAATATCTGATTATCTGAGCATAGATTGAAAAGGAGAAAAAAAATTGGAAACAATATCCGTTATTTAAGTGTTTATTAAATCTCAAAATGTAAAATGTCCTGAATGATTTTGTTTCTCATTTAATTCAGATAATCAAATGTATTTACATAAAGCATAAGATAAGATAATACATTTCATTAAATATATCATATGCTTTTTAGTCAGGACATTATCCTTAAATTAAAACTCTTAAGTTATATTTGCATGTTCATGATCTATCATGCTACCCTACAAAATTAATTTATTCTCTGTTATAAAATACAAACTATAAATAATAATATTGCAGGATACTGATGATCAACCAGCAGTTTCAAGACATAATGGAGATTATGACGAAAGACGAGCTTATTCTGAATATGTTAATAATGATGCATCCCAACGTTCATACACATCGCCTTCTCCACGTACTCAATATGGCGTTAAATACGAAACTCAAGATGATAATCGCTTTGAGAGGAATAATTATGAGTATGACGATAAGAGGCAGATAGAATGCGATGAACCATTACCTCAACCATCATCTCAACATAGACGAATGCCTACTCATCATAATACTGAAAGGGTCAGAATTAAAAGCCAATATATATATTAAAAAACAAAATAAAAAAGAAAAAATGTTCTTTTAAAAATTTAATTTAATATATTGTAATGAAATTTGATTTAAAACAGGAAGATACAAGTCAAGTGCCTGGTTGGGTAAGACATTCCGATAAAGAGAAATGTAGACCACAGTTTCACTATCATAGGCGGCCTGTTACAAGGGTATGTAACGTGTAAAATTACAAATCTTTTAACTTATAATACTATTATTACAAATACAAACTGTAATTGTTTTCATCTTTTAGAACTCAAATATACTCTCTGCCGTATTATGCCTAGTCAAAGAATTGGACTATCCCAGTTTGGAAGTAGTAGAAATGGCAGTTAGAAATCGAATGGATGAATTAGAAGAATGATGTTTCTGACGCCGTCCCCAAAATCTTCAGGGGACGGTTGCATTTTCTCGTGTTGGCAGTATTTCCTCTATTCCAAGTCCAGAATTTTCTGACTCACTTGACTCTAATCAGTGCATCGATAATGATATGAATTTTAACGTTGAACATCGTATATGCAATTATTATGGGATAGATGAAACTAGTGAAAAATCACAAATGCAGAGAAATGAATCTACCGAAAACTGTAATTTAAATCGAAATCCAAAAACTTTCGTTACCGATTCAAATCTTAGGTATATTAAAAATAATCCACATACATACAAACTTCGGGACTCTGGATCAGATAATTTGACAACAACAATTAACAGTGAACCAAAAAGATCGAACGACGTTAGAAGAGTAGCAAGCAGTGACAGTATCCCCCGTGGTAACAATAGTGGTGTATATTTCAATCAAGGAAGTAAAGATCCAAATCAAGATTGTATAAGACGATCGAAAAGTCCTGACGTTAGAAACACGATAATGCCACTTCGTTACATTCAATCATCAAAAGGAACTTGGACGTACAACTTGTAAGTGAAATAATAGAGTAGATTGTTTCTTTCTGTCTATGATAACATAAAATGTTTTCAGAGACAGGTCATACAATTAATGAAGATAAGAATAAAAGGGTACTTAATTAACTATTACTTCTAAATTACAAAGTAAATCATTGTAATATGTGCATGATGGTGCATTATATGTTCCCTTTATAACTTAAGGAAACATTGTTCCAGAACAACAGTATTTATTGTACTTATCAAATGTTTATTATTAAAAATTATAAAATGGACAAATTCTTTCAATAATATCAATTATTCATACTTTAGATTAGAAGATTTTAGTATACACGTACAAAGTTTTTAAATAATTTTGTTATCATTATAGCAAGATCGATTAAATAGGTTTCATGTTAGTATCATATACTATCAAAAAAGAAAAAAAAATGGCAATAGAATAGAATATCCGTAAAATACAAATATCAATATTGATAGTAGAATAAAGAAAAATTTTGTTCTGTAAATGATGTTTCCCTAGATCAAAAAGCATAAAAGGTGCAGCTTATACATGTGATAGTTAAAAAGTTAGCAAATGCAACAAATTCAAGACTTTGTATAAAATGTTAAGATTTTCCATGCATGTGTGCAATATATATATATATATATATGTATAATATATAATATATATATGTATAACATATATATTATATGTTAATATACATATATATTATATATATATTATATTATATATATATAATATATATTATATATATATAATATATATAATATATAGTATATTACATATATATATATAATATATATATGTATAACATATATATTAAATATATATATATATATATTTATATATATATATAAAAATCTGGTAAAGATAATTATTGGCAGAAAAGTTAAATGTCTATATTTGCAATGCCTAACTGTAGAAAAGCTTCCATATATATATTCTCTATTTTAATATGTATAAAAATCAGTTAGTATAAAAAACTAATCATAGTAAAGATTATAAATATCAAAAATCGTAATATTATAAGCAGATGAGATTCAATGCTTATTAATAATTCGATAAAAATATAAAAAAATAGATTTATGAATCATGTAAAAAGAACTATTTAAGAATTATAGTAAAGTGATATATAAAATTCCAAGACAAAGAATATATTGGTGTTTAAAAAAAAAGACGCATTAGACATAATTAACTATAGACTGATATACAGAGGAGGTATAAATTTTAGGAAAACTAACTTATATTATATATTATTTAATCAAAAAATTAAAAATTAATCTTTCTATATAACCAAAAGAAACTTCAATACGTAACAAGAAATTAATTATTTATGATATACATAAATAGTCCTATAAGAAATTTTTTAAATGTAGTGCAATATTTTTCCTTACTCCCAGCCGTCCAGCTTATATCATTAAATAATTTAAATTCATCATTATTAATATTTACGAAATTACAATTATTATTGTTGTTGTTATCATAATTATAATTATAACAGATAATGTTGCTATTATATTATCATTATCATTTTAACTTCTGTTTCAAAATCTACATAATTGTTTCATAATTTTTATATAATGTAATGATCAAAATAAGATTGTATTATATTACATAAAGATTTCATGTAAATGAATTATTTAATCATGTTGCAAAATATTAATTTTGTTTCTACTTTAAATTGTAAATCCTATGAGACTTCGTTTGTGTTACACAATAAGGAAGCTACTAAAAAAAAAAAAAAAAAAAAAAAAAAAAAAAAAAAAAAAATACATTTTGACGATTAATAATATTTTCTTAATTAAGTTAACATTTTTAAGTATTATAAGATATATATATATTTAATATTTCCAATTTTATATTACATCAAAGAAAAAAAAATTATTATGACATATTACTGTAATAATTTATAAGATCAAATGTAAAATTATTTCAATTCATACATAAACTTATATTCATGTATGCTTTTAGGCATCTAAATTGCACAAGGGTGCAAATTGATGGCTTGGAGATAAAATGATTCAAAATATATTAATAAAAAAAATAAAAAAGAATACAAAAAAAATGTTTTAGACAAAACTTATATAATTTTTAAATCCATATAAAATTATACAAGTTTTAGTATTAATGTAAAAGTGATATTTACATGAATTACTGTTTTTTTATTAATCATTCAATAGTAAATTGATAATAACAAATACTTAAAAAAACATCAAATTATATAATCATAATATACAATACATTTATTCTTTCACTACTTATAAATTCATTAAGCCTAAAATCATTAGAAGACTAATACTTTTGTACATTATAATTAAGGAAAAGATTTTATATTAAAAGTTTCAGTTGGTTTTAATAAATATTCCGTGCGCAAACTTGCCTAGTTTAACTAACTTAACTACTATCCTTAACCTAAATGAATATGTAAGAATATTTTCAAATTTTATAATATTTATTCTTTATTCGTGTACCATTGTTGTGTTGTTTAAAATGAGATAGAGAGTTCATAGGATTTAAAAGATTTAATTGCATTTGTATACATAAGAAATAAAAATTATGTGTTTTTGTCTGAAACATTTTTCTGTAAGTGAAAAGTCTGTAAAATAATCCAAAACAAATATATATTCTATGTTTATATGTTTATATAATGTATGATATACTATGTTAATGTTATATAGAAATCACGATATCTTATTTATTCGAGAAGAATTAAACGAATTAATTTGTTGTTATAAAAATGCAAATTATTAACATTGTAAATGAAAAAGTATCATATTTAAGTTAATAAGATTTATATTTGAAATATAAAATAATATATACAAATTTCTTAAATTTTTAAAAAATATACTCTTATTCAAACATTCGCATTCTTTTAGAAAAACGTACTTTATTATCCATTCTTTTCTTTCAGCCCTAATATGTTATTACAAAATTATTTCAATATAACAAAATAAGAACAAAATTATAATTTTATACAAATAAAAACTTATATTAACATTACATTTACCTGTTTCAAGGTATGTATTACATAATCTCTTGTGGATACTCTAATCACAAAATAGTAATGTAAAATTAACGTACATTAATTAATTAACAACTGCACTTTTTCAAATACTAGTACGCCATTGCTGCGCACAATTCAAACGGTTTTAAAATGGCGTACATCTAATAACGTTTACTTTTTTATCTCTATACGGGAGAATTGGCCGATCATAATATCTTTATAATGAAAAAAAAGAAATATTAAATTGTGTATAATGCATTTTTATTGTCACATATTTAATATCAAAGATATATAAACGTGTGATTTTTTTAATTTATTATTTATCTTTAACATTGATAATTGCAACGGATTTGATGAATTGGAATCTTATTTTCATAACCTCTTCGAAGAGAAGTTAACATTTATTATCAAATTTTATCAACTGTTTTAAATTGTCACAAATATTGTAAATATATATTAATACTCAAAATGACTACATCTTATACACTAGGAAGTGATATCGTACATTTAAATGTAGGAGGAACTAGGTATATGTTAAAATTACATGTTTTATTATATTAGATATGTATTTCAAATAATCTAATAAAAATGAAATATTACTTATTACAGGTTTTCTACGTCTCAACAAACTTTGACGTGGATACCTGATTCGTTTTTTACAGCTTTACTGAGTAATCGAATTGCCAGTCATCAAGATTTAGATGGTGCATTATTTATTGATAGAGATCCTCGAATGTTTTCTATAATTTTAAATTATTTACGTACAAAGGATATTAATTTAAAAAATGTTGATATTCGTTCTTTAAGACACGAAGCAGAATATTATGGTATTACACCATTGGTTAAGCGATTAATGTTATGCGAAGATTTAACTCAGTCTTCTTGTGGTGATGTGCTTTTCTCTGGTTATTTACCACCACCTGGTTAATATTCTTAAACAATTTTGTTCTACAAATTGAACAAATATTTTTCATTAGATTTATAATGTTTCTTTCTCTAAGGTATTCCATTACAAGAGTCAGCAACAGTTCCTCCAAACGTCAGTGACGTCTCCGTTCATGGTAGAGCTGTAACAACGACTTTAACGCCTAGGACAGATACAGCTACTACTTCACAATCTGTAGTATCTTCTTCGTGTCCTTGTAATCAAAATACAAATGGTAATTATATATATATATATATTATATATATATGTGCTATTGTTTAATTACTCTTGTTTCAATTTAACTAGCATTAAATTAAATTATATATGTTTTAAGGACAACAAAATCATAAGAGACCAATAACTTCTCATGTGCGCAATTCATCATTAGATTATAGACTTTCTCAACGTGGATTACCTCATTCACGAACTCCATCTTTAGATTTGAGACATATTCGAAATAATTCAGCAGATTTAAATAAATTGTACAAAAATGATGTTGGTGTAATATTTGGACCTCAACAGGGTAAGGATATATCAATAAAAAATTATACTACATATATGTAATATTATATTATTGAATATATTAGTTTCAGCTTGGGTAGATCCTTTAAGAGTGCAAATTATAAAAGCACATCATAATTGGATTGTTGTTGCTTATGCACATTTTATAACATGTTATCGATTAAAAGATTCATCTGGATGGCAGCATGCATTTACAAGTCCACACATTGAATCTATAATCGAACGAGTAGCAATAAATGCAAAAATAGGTAGTGGAGTAGATGGTAAAATGGTAGCTATTTCTTATGGGAATCAAGTGAGATTATGGAGTGTTTCCGAATATGGAATTAAAACAAATATTGGTACTTTTAATTTGAATGTCCGTGTGGAATATTTATTTTTTATTGGTAGTCAATTGGTTGCTCTATCACCAACTGGAAAGATTGGTGTGTGGCATGCGATGACACATCATTGGCAAATTCAAGATGTAGAACCTATTTTGTCATTTGACACTGCCGGCACGTTTCTTCTTCTTGGTTGTAACAATGGCTCTATTTATTATATTGGTAAATATAGAAGAAATATTTTAATTATTTTAATATTATAAATATTTTTTACAATAGTAACATGATCTTGTGTTTATATTACAGATATGCAAAAATTTCCTCTTAGAATGAAAGATAATGATCTTCTAGTAAGTGAATTATATCGCGATCCAAGTTATGATCCTATTACAGCCATATCTGTCTATCTAACACCAAAAACAAGTGAGTTAAAACATCTAAAATTTGTATATGTATTTATTAATAGTAATAGTTTAAGAGTGAATTAATTAGTTATTAGATAATCATTAATACTTTAATTACCACATACATCAAATGAAATTTTATTATATTTTAACATTAGAACTTTGGTGTGGTATTATTCATTATACGTATCTAATACAACATGTTTAATAGTCTTATGCCTTACAATATATATTATCAATCCTATAACTAACAATAAAGTTAATATGCATATATAAAGTTTTTATGTATGTGTATGCTTATGCTTATAATAAGAAAAGCAATAACTTTTCCTTCCACTTTTTACAATATTTATCAAGGCCCTTTTATCGAGCCACACAAACACACATGTGGCTTTCAAATATTAATATGAGTTTATTATTACATGCTTTGCCTCATGATTTCGTACAACTGGATAATTAGCACAAGGCAAGTATGGGTCATTATAATCTAGTATTTGTTTTCAATTCCACATATAATCCAAATACCATTTTTTAACATTCATTATTTTATCACACATAAAAAATTTTTGTATAAGTGAAAAAACATACTCTTCCTCTCCAGATTTAAAAAAAAATTGCAATTACATTAAATAGAGAAATGCATAAATTTGTATTACTATGAAAACTACTACTTTATTACATTACTCTGTGGTTGTAATGAAAATAATTATTATTTGATAATTCTAATTAAATTTATTAATTGTAGCATAGGATCAATTTTAAATAAATAACTTTATCAAATATGTGTGCATGTTATACACACGTTCATATACATTATATCAATTTATATTTAATGTAGCAGCAGTATATATTTATATATATATATATATATATATATATATATATATATATATTTTTTTTTTTTTCCATATAAATATTTTATCTTCATATTAATTACCTATAACCCTGCTATCCTTATGCATCCAGTTGTACCAATGTTGTTACCAATTATTATCTTAATCATTAAATTTTCTTCTTCAATCATTATTTACAAAACAAATATATTCTATTTCATTTAAGATTCTTTCATTACATGTTTCATATTTGCTATCTGAGAGGAGGAGGGAAAATAATAAAATGCTTACTGTCAACTGCATATTAATTTTATTACATATTGTATCTAACTCATTAATATTTAACATATATATATATACCACTTTTATAATTATTTATTTGTAATTTTGTGCAGTGAATTTTTATTCTGTTCTAAAAGCAAAATCATTTGAAAATTTTGTACTTCAAAATAATTAAACTATAGCATATATCTATATTATATTTTTTTATTTGTCATAGGTCTCTGTGGAAATTGGATTGAAATTGCATACGGTACAGAATCTGGTAGTGTCAGAGTCATCGTCCAACATCCTGAAACTGTTGGGCATGGACCACAATTATTTCAAACATTCACTGTTCATCAAAGTAGCGTAACAAAAGTATGAAAATTTTCAAAATATTAACTAATAGAAAATTTAAGCAAGTAAAAGAGAAGTTTAAAAGTTTAATAAAAAAAATTGTTAATTATTTTAGGTAACATTATCAGAGAAATATTTAGTTTCTGTTTGTTCTGAATACAATCATGTAAGAACTTGGACAGTGACAAGATTCCGTGGTATGATTTCCACACAACCTGGATCGACACCTGAAGCAAGTTTTAAAATAGTATCTCTAGAAGCGGTTGAACCCTGTGTTAGTTATTATGCTGGAAACGATTTTGGTATGTTATATTTATTATATCAAATTTACTATATATAAAATATTTATTTTATTTCCAATTTATAGGTCCATTTGGTGAACAAGATGATGAACAAGTGTTTGTTCAAAAAGTTGTACCTGAAACCGATCAATTATTCGTACGTTTAGCATCGAATGGAAAAAGAGTTTGTGTAATACAATCAGTTGATTGTAGTATCATTAGTTCCTTCTATGTTCACGAATGCGAAGGATCTAGTCGAATGGGCTCCAGGCCTAGACGTTTTATATTTACTGGACATTCTAATGGCACTATTCAAATGTGGGATTTAACAACAGCTTTGGATCCATCCTTTCATCAAGATAAAGGTATTTATATTTACATATTGCTTCATAACATATTAACAATATTAAATATTAAGATATATGATATTAATGCTTTTATTATATAATAGTATCAGATGTATCTGGTGGACCAACGCCGGAAGAACTTTGGAAATTGTTAGATCAATGTGATTTAAGTAACAGTCATTGCTCTACACCATGTATTAGTCCGTGTCCATCACTTGCAGGTGTAGGTGCAAGAATTAAAACAAGTAATGTTTTATTTCTTAATCAATCACATAACTCTGAGGCAGTAGCTGGATCTAGCCAACAACAATAGATTCTATAAAAAGAACATTTTTTATCATTATATTAAGTTACTTAATTTGTATGACTTTTTCTACTTTGCATATTTTAACAAATTAATGCGCATTTATATATATATATATTTATATATATATATATATATATATATATATATATATATATATATATATATATGTATGTATTTATTATTTATAATTGTGAAGATTAAGTAATTATAGCTATAGTTCCTATTTCAAAGCCATTGGCTGATAACTCTTTGTTTATTGTACAGTATATTAAAATAATAACGCGCAGAACTGATTATGTTTTAAGAAAAAAAAATTATTTTGCATTTTCATGGAATTTCAAAACTTACTCTATGACAAAGATAAGATTGTTGACAAATAACTCTAATACTCAATTATAGAAATAAAATAAGCATTGCCGTCTTTTTATTGTTAGCTCTGATTATAATATAATTCAACAATAAATGTGATAAAAATAAATATTAGAATTATATATTATATAAAAATACAAAGATATTTCGATTTGTAAAGTTTAAATATAAGAAGCTTAAATAAATGAGTTAATGTTTTTCTTTCAATGTAATTTTTATTATTATTATTTCATAAAAGCTGATATATATTTATTATGCTTCGTGTTTTTTTTTATATGTTATAAGAAATAACAGAACATTGTTCCAATTCTTATTTATGCAAAATTTAACAAATGGATTATATATATATATATATATATATATATATATATATATATATATATATATATATATAAATGTATATAATAATTTTTTAGATATTCTCAAATAAGTAAAATTTCTTTGTATTTGCAATATTTATAAGAAAGATCACAAAGTAATTATGTTAAACTTCATATTTTTTTATTGTTGCAAATTTTACAATATGTATAAACATGATTTTTAAATCAAACATGTTTATTACAAATTAAAATATAATATTAATATAATATAGTTGTGTACCAAGATTGATCGTTTTGTAAATTTGATATAATCATTGTCAATTAAACTTAATACGATACATATTTTTGTAATAATAATTAGTTCTTCGTTAAAACATCAAATATAAAATCCAAATAATAATTAAAGAGTAATATTGTTTACTAACGTATTATAAATCTCATTAAATTATATATTACAAGTTATGTTCTTAAAAGAACATTAGGTAAAATTATATTTTTTTTGTCTAACATTATTGGCACGTATAATTTACAGTAAAAGTTTTATTTTTTCAGGCACTACGGTGATATTTTATAGTTATTCTGACTGATATTATATTGAGTATAATCACATTATGCATATTATATGCATTATTAAACTTAATGTTAACACGTTTTATAATGTAATCTACAAGTATATCCTTATACATATATCTTAAGTGTTAACATATGTCAGTGCCACATAACATGATTAATTATTATTTTGTTACAAATGAGATATCTGAAATAGAAATATTACAGTCTAACACCCGTAACAATTTTGCAAAATATGATTCATATAAATCTTTTGATATCAGAATAAATTATTATGATATATTGCTGGGTCAGTCATTGGTGTTAATAGAAAACACCATGCAAATAGACCAATGACAAATAAAGAAAATAGAGCTGCCCTTTTTAAAGGATCTTTATAAGCCACAACTTCAGATAATTCAGGAAATCCCATATGATTGCAAAATGAATGAGCTATGAAAGGAGCTATAAAATGCCCTAAGAAAAAAGAAAATTCAAAGGTTAGTATATATATATATATATATATATATATATATATATATATATATATATATATATATATATTATTATTATTAGAATAATACCATTTAATAATTAGAAATCAGCATAAGTGAATCTACCTGTTTTAACAAATAGAAAGGCTGCATAAGCTCCAAATAACGTAGTATATGTAAATTGGAAACCTGTGTGCCCCAATTTCTCATTAATTCAAATACTTTTATATATTTATATGATTTTAAATTCCATACATAAGAAATACTTACAAGATATGAATAAAGCAAGTTTTATTTCCATACCCATTTTTATTCTTTCTACTACATGATGAAAATGTGCTACTCCAAAGAATAACGGACATATAAAAATGGCAGTAGTTTGTGTAAAACATTGTAAAAGTAATGGTAACATGCAAGCTCTAAAAGTCCATTCCTCAGAGAGTGGTGCAACAATGTGATTCCTCCACCAAATTAATGTATGTACACTTCCTAACCAATACATAGGCTCTAACAAAATAAGAATAACTTTGTACATTATTAATGTACATTATTTTGTACACTATCGATATTACAAAATACATCATTTTAAATACAAACCAGCATATAATCTCCAAAAACCATTAAGAATTTGTACGCTCAATGGGCCCAAAAATAATATCATTGTTAAAAGAAATGGTATTACACTTGCTTGGATTAGGCCAGACCATCGTAAACCCAATAATTCCCAAATGGTTGCCTATAATATTTTTTTTTTTATATATATATATAAAATATAAACATTTATTTGATATATAGACCCAAATGATAATATCTAAAATAATTACTTTTTGGAAAACCTCCTCATCCAAGCCAACATATAGAAATATTGGTGAAATTAGAGCAACAATAAAAACACTAAAGAATCTTCTTTTTATAGTAGAAGGATGTTCTCTGTAAATAGATATATAATAATGTAATGGATAATAACTGTTTTATATATATATATATATATATATATATATATATATATATATAAAATCTATATCAAAAGTATCTAAGTCTTTAATAAATAACTACAAAATATAAATCTTTCGAGTACGCCTATTAATATAAATTATATACTGATTAAATATTTATTTTAAAAGGTACTAATCAATTTCAAAATTCACAGTTTATAAAACCTGACTAATATAATACTTTGACTTTATACATGTTTTTACATTGATTTAATTAAACATGCACTATCCAATACATTAGTACACATTCTCGAAAGAAAATTAAAAAAAAGAAAAAAGAGAGCTGCTACATGAGAATTTATATTAAAAATAATGACATTTTAATAGAGATTATATTCGTATAAAATAGAGATATATCTGGCCGAGGAATATTTTTAAATAATCCGCCAAAAACAAACAAGGAAAGTTTAAGGAGTCTCCACTGCGAGCGCTGCAAAGTTCATTCTTGTCCAGAAATACGAGCGTCTACGCGAGTGGGAGATCCGAATGAAGGGGGAATTTGTGTTCTCTTTCTCTCTCACTCTCATTTTCTCTTTTTCGTTCGTAGTTGTCTGCCTGCTTGCCTGCGAGATACACTGTTAAAGAGCAAAGCGTGTTCGGAGCCACAAGAGAAATGGCAGTACGATTTGACGTTTGAAAGATCAAGGAAATTTTACATACCTATTGTGAGGAGAATTCCATACGTACAAGCTCGCGATATAAACGACCGATAATACAAAGCATGAAAAAATTCCGGAGATACAGGATAAATCGGTATTTCGACCCGTGGTCTCCATAACTCCATACTAATGTTGGTTGCTTGTGTGGTGGCGATTCACAGTATAGGAAGGGGGGATCGGTAAGGGGTTGAAGGAGTGTAGGGTGGCGACGGAAGAAGTGTGGGGGAAGGGAGAAAGAGAGGAAGAAAGAAGGACAGACAGACAGAGGGAGGGAGGGAGATAGATAGATAGATATATATATATATAGAGAGAGAGAGAGAGAGAGAGAGTGCGCGAGTAGAACCAAGAGAGAAGAGGAGAGAAAGAGTGAGTGAGTAAGAGAGAGAGAGAGAGAGAGAGTGAGAAAGAGAAAGAGGGAAAGAGAGAGAGAGAGAACAGAAATTCATCCGATTGGCGCTCCAATACTACAGTCGACAGTCCTACCGTCGATGAGAAGATGGCCGCTGGGCTCGGTAGAAGTGTCGCCATTGTTTAGTGTTTAGTTATTTTAACAATTCTCGCATTATTTTCTTTCGGTCAGCACGGAAAAAATGCCAAGCGCATCGTTTACGTCATCGCGCAACTACGTGCGAAGATCAAGAAGAAAAGGAGCTAACAGAATCCCCCTACCTTCAAGAACCACCTCGGGTAAGGCATCCGAAGTTCGGTTCGCTGCTTACCTGTCTCAGCTCTTCTTCCTTTTACCTTCACCCCATTTTTTCTATGTTTTTCTATTTCTATTTCAATGTACTATCAACGAACAAATGTACCCTATATCCTTTCATTTTGATATATCTCTCAGTTTAACAACATAAGCTTAAAAAATGCCGACCATAGTAAACGACAATCACCCTCCTGCTTATACACACGTCCATTGCAGACACCGATTTTATAGGTTGAAAGGTCCTATCGAATGCACCGATCGGAGTACTGGATGACGTTTTCAAGTATTAACGCGGCGTATACTTTCATCGTTCATCGATCGTCTCTCCTTTTCTCTTAATCATCGATTTCCTCTCCTGTCTTTTTTACCATCGTTGATTTTTATTCCGGTACGTCCGTCCTGTCTACCACCTCGCCTCACCCCACCCCCTCTTTTCTTTTCTCTCCTCTCCGTTTCTTTCTTTTTTTTACTCTCTCTCTCTCTCTCTCTCTCTCTCTCTCTCTCTCTCTCTCTCTCTCTCTCTTTCTCTTCTTTCTGTCTCTCTCTGTCTGTCTCTGTCTGTCTCTCTCTTTCTCTCTCTCTCTCCCTCTCTCTCTCTTTCTCTCTTTCTCTCTCTCTCTCTCTCGCTGTCTGTCTACCTTTTTTTATCCTTTTTCTTTTCGTAATGTCGATTTACTACCCGCACAGCTGTATGAAACTGAACGCCTTCCTCATGCACAATCTAGAAAAATTCAATAATCACGAGTAAAAATATGCTTCAAGATAAAGGACACAGCTGTTTCAATGAACCACTATTGTCATACATATTTTACATTAAATCATTATGTCGCTCTACTTTCCCAAATGACTATTATGATTTTAATGTAATTGGTAACATTCATTAAACAGCAATCAAAAATGGATCTTCTTATTGGTTTCTATATTTTCATTTTTTGTAAATTCTCTGTGGATTATATGTGTGTTTTGAAATAAAATCTTTAAGTTTGATACCACCGTTTACGTTTTGTTTTTTTTTCTTTTTTTGAGTTGATTAGCGTTGAATTTTTTTTTTCTTTTTTTGAGTTGATTAGCGTTGAATTTTTTTTTTCTTTTTCTTTATATATATATTCCCATACTTCTCTCTCACTTCAAAAAACATGCTTTAACTTGTCAAATAATGCTTATTAATATATATAACTAACATAATATTTAGATCTATTGCATTATATTTTCAATATTTTCTTTTTTATTATATATATATGTATATATATATATATATATATATATATGTATATATATATATATGTATATATATATATATATATAAATTTAGATCAATATAAAATATAATAAAAAATTTAAGTTTTTTTCTTTAATGAGAACTGAACAATGAAATGAAATATTGAGAAAAATTTTCAAATTTTAACCTATATGATAAAACGTCATCAATTTCGAAATAGCTGTCAATTTTGACAGTTATTTCGAAACATAACCTTTTTAGTCTAGGCGCATTTTATATACAAGTAGCTTGTTACTATATATATATATATATATATATATATATATAAATAGTAATATACTGTTAGGGAAATCCCTAGTAGATCATATTTACTAAATGTTTCTAAATTTTTTTTTTTTTTTTTTTTTTTTTTTTTTTTTGAAACAGTACAGTTTTAATTATAACATATTGATAAATTTTAAATATTACTTTTAAAGAAAACTAATTAACATATAAGATGAAGAAATGTATGTCATTCGTAATTATTAAATATACATAAAATATAATTAAAAAGAAAAGAAAAATTTCTTGAATATATTTATTGTAAATATATTATAGTTGTAATATGAATTTGATTATATTATAGCCGAGCCATGCGAATTGCCATGTCCAGCGTCAAATCAGATTCCTCCTGGAGGTGGTGTTGGTGGAGGAGGAGGAGGAGGAGCAGGAGGTGGTGGTGGTAATGGTGGAAGAGGCTCGTCACCTAGTGTGTCAGGTGTAGCTGCACCTTCACCTTCTCCATCACATTCACATTCTTCGCCATATGATTTGAGGCGTAAAAGTCCACCTCATCCGGATCCAGCACCTGGCACAAGTTCTGCATTACCCCCCTCGGGTGGCAGTAGTATTGCTGCTACCCTTGGCAGTTTTACTCTTCCAGCAAGGAAACGACCACGGCGAACGTGTTCACTTTCTGCAGATGGTAAATTTCCAAATTTCTATTAATAGATATACATATTGTAAATAAATGTATATTCATTGTTATATTGTCAACTATTACATGTGATATAATTATGATAAACTTATTTTTTGTAATAGGTACAAATACAAATACAGCAGCACATTATCTACAATATGAATTACCAGACGAAGTGTTGCTTACTATATTCAATTATTTAATGGAACAAGATCTATGCAGAGTTTCACAAGTTTGTAAACGTTTTCAAGCTATCGCAAATGACACAGAACTATGGAAATCCCTCTATCAACAAGTATATGAATATGATTTACCTTTGTTTAATCCAGCACCTTGTAAATTTGAATTTGTTTCTCCGGATGAGTCTGATTATCCAAATCCATGGAAAGAAAGCTTTAGACAATTATATAGGGGGGTACACGTCAGACCTGGCTTCCAGGATTTAAAATTCAAAGGACGAAATTTGCCGTATTTCAACACGGTTCAAGGGGCATTGGATTATGTAGACGAATACAGAAGCAGCAACAGTAATTCTTCAAGTAATGCAAATACAAGTGCTCAAGGAAATTGCTGCGGGAGTAATTCTCAAACAATAGAAGAAGCACCTCAACATTTAGTATTCTTACATGCTGGAACATATAGAGGTGAATTTCTTGTAATCGATAGTGATGTTGCACTAATTGGAGCAGCTCCTGGTAATGTGGCAGAATCGGTCATACTGGAACGAGAAAGTGAATCTACTGTAATGTTTGTAGAAGGTGCTAAGCGTGCATATGCTGGGCACCTTACTTTAAAGTTTACTCCAGATGTTACTAGTACAGTTCCACATCATAAACATTATTGTTTGGAAGTGGGTGAAAATTGTAGTCCTACAGTTGATCACTGCATTATTAGAAGCTCGAGTGTGGGTAAGTATATTTTCTACACATAATCTATATAATACGAAAAAAGAAACAAAAGATCCAATAAGAGTTAATGATTTTGTTTATTATAGTGGGAGCAGCTGTTTGTGTATCTGGTGTTGGCGCTAATCCTGTGGTAAAGAACTGTGACATATCAGATTGTGAAAATGTTGGTCTTTATGTTACTGATTATGCACAAGGAACATATGAAGACAATGAAATCTCACGGAATGCATTAGCTGGTATTTGGGTTAAAAATTATGCAAATCCAATTATGAGAAGGAACCATATTCATCATGGTAGAGATGTTGGAATATTTACATTTGATAACGGTCTTGGATATTTTGAAGCCAATGATATTCATAATAACAGAATAGCAGGTTTTGAAGTAAAAGCTGGTGCGAATCCAACAGTTGTACATTGTGAAATACACCATGGTCAAACAGGAGGAATTTATGTTCACGAAAACGGTTTAGGACAATTTATTGATAACAAAATTCACTCCAATAATTTTGCTGGAGTATGGATTACTTCAAATTCAAATCCAACAATTCGAAGAAATGAAATTTATAATGGTCATCAAGGAGGAGTGTATATATTTGGAGAAGGAAGGGGTTTAATAGAACATAATAATATTTATGGTAATGCTTTGGCTGGAATACAAATCAGAACAAATTCAGATCCAATAGTTAGGCATAATAAAATACATCATGGTCAGCATGGAGGCATATATGTACATGAAAAAGGGCAAGGTTTAATAGAGGAAAACGAAGTCTATGCTAATACTTTAGCAGGAGTTTGGATCACTACAGGATCAACTCCAGTTTTAAGAAGAAATCGAATTCATAGTGGCAAACAAGTTGGAGTTTATTTCTACGATAATGGACACGGAAAGTTAGAGGATAATGATATTTTCAATCATTTGTATTCAGGAGTACAAATAAGGTATTAAAAAAAAAAGAAATTATTGTATAAAATATTATTATAAATTTTAAACAATATTAAATCTATGATACATAAATTATAATTCGATTTTTTGAAACAGAACTGGAAGTAATCCAGTGATACGTGGAAATAAAATATGGGGCGGACAAAACGGTGGCGTTCTTGTGTACAATAGTGGTTTAGGCTTACTTGAACAAAATGAAATTTTTGATAATGCCATGGCAGGTGTATGGATTAAAACTGATAGTAATCCTACATTAAAAAGGAACAAGATATTTGATGGGAGAGATGGAGGAATTTGTATATTTAATGGTGGTAAAGGTAAATGTCATAATAATTATGATAATTTATTAATTTGTTATATTAAATGTTGTATGTAATATAGGTGTCTTAGAAGAAAATGATATATTTCGCAATGCGCAAGCTGGGGTGCTTATATCTACACAATCCCATCCAGTATTAAGGAGAAATCGAATTTTTGATGGATTAGCAGCAGGAGTTGAAATAACTAATAATGCTACTGCAACATTAGAATTTAATCAGATCTTTAATAATCGATTTGGTGGTTTATGCTTAGCAAGTGGTGTACAACCAACAACTAGAGGTAAGGATATAAGATATAGTAAAAATATGAATACCAAAATATAATAACACTTTTTCTATTATTAACCGAATATCTTTTCTTTTTTCTTTCTTTTTTCTTTTTTTTTCTTTTTTTCTTTTTTTTTCTTTTTTTCTTTTTTTTTTTCTTTTTTTTTCTTTTTTTCTTTTTTTTTTCTTTTTTTTTTTAGGCAATAAAATATTCAACAACCAAGATGCTGTCGAAAAGGCAGTTGGAAATGGCCAATGTTTGTACAAAATATCATCATATACATCTTTTCCGATGCATGACTTTTATCGCTGTCAAACATGCAACACTACAGATCGCAATGCAATATGTGTAAACTGTATAAAAACTTGCCATGCAGGACACGATGTAGAATTTATCAGACATGATCGGTAAGATATAATTTTATATCTAATACTATAGATTATTTAAAAATAAAGAATTTTATAACCAATACTTATATCAAGTATTTTTACATTTTTAAATTTCAGCAATTACATTATTGTAATTATAGTTATTATTTATAAGTAGGTTTCTTTACATGAGAAGGTTATAAGTAATCAGAAAGTGAAATTATTTTTATAGAATAGAAATGTAAAAAAATGAATTAATAATTACAGGTTCTTTTGTGACTGTGGTGCTGGTACATTAAGTAACCAGTGTCAACTTCAGGGTGAGCCTACACAAGACACTGATACATTGTACGATAGTGCTGCACCAATGGAGTCACATACACTTATGGTTAACTAGGAATTAACCTGAACTAATTTAAATAATCAAACAACATTGAACATGTAAGTTGAATTTATTGCACATATGCAGCGTGTTACGCTGCTGAGTTCTTTATTATGGTCTTAATATTTTTTTTTCCATGTTCCCATCATGTAATGACTGTTATTTCTAAAATTGTTAATATTATATCCAGTTTTATCATTCTCATTTTTCATTGTTATTATCATGTAAAATTTTTTCATATTATCAACAAATCATATAGTTTAAATTAATCGAGAAAGTAATATTTTCTATCAATATCTAATTTCAAATTTAATATTTAACATGTTACTAATGTTTTTATTTGTTCTCTTTCTTTTCTTTCTTTTTTTTTTTTTTTTTTTTTTTTTTTTTGGAGAATAAAAGTCTAAACTTGTTTTATATATCGCGACTTGTGTAACAATGCAAAAATTTATATTATATATATGTGTGTGTATATATGTATATGTATATGTATATGTATATGTATATGTATATGTATATGTATATATATGTGTATATGTATATCCCAGTTTTATTTTATTTATGGGAACACTGTTTCTTTCTTACATCGAAAGATAGTAGAGAACTCTGCAATAAAAAAGAACATAAATAGAAATACATCAAAGTGACAAGTGGAATAATGAAATCTAAAGTCGATGAACAGAATAATTGAGGACGCAAAATTCGCCAAAATAATTGCATTGTGTAATGATATAAAATTAATATTAATTTATAGTTAAATGGAAAAAGTACCGAACTTTCCATGTGTCCTTCGTTACGAGAGAAAGAGAAAAAGAGAGCGAGAGAGAGAGAGAGAGAGAGAACGAGAGAGAGCGAGAGAGAGAGAGAGAGAAAGAGAGACAGGTGTCTACTATCTAAATTTTATGTGAAAAGAGTGCAGTGATAACTGTGTAAAAGATAATTTGTGTGTATATGCCCTAATGAAGAAGACATTGAATAAAATTGTTACTGGGACGTTTTAATGAACTATGTTAAAAAATCCAGTACAGTGCAAAGGCATATTATGGTAAAATCTCTACGGTATATATATATTATAGTGCCGAATAAAATGTAAATTATGTACATCATAAGGAACTCGGTAGAATAGCGATATTGACTGGTCCTCTTGCTATAAAAAAACAGAAAGCATGAACATTATAACACGTGAAGTATATTAACAAAATTTGCACAACAGTTGACAAAATAATAGTAGTGTATACAGGAACGTATAAAAAAAAAAAAAAACAAAAAAAAGAAAAAAAAAAGAAAAAAAAAAGAAAAGAAAGAAAGAAAGAAGTGCACATATTATACTTAAAATTTGCGAAACTAAAAAAAAAAAAAGAGAAAAAATAAAAAAAACCATAGACTGTTCAAAGAAATCTCGATAAATACATTTACGAAGAAAATCAACTGTCAATATAATATGTGAAATGCGACTTTAGTTATGAATTTATCAAATAAGCAAGATATCACAATTTCACAAGGAAGAGAAAAAGACACAAGAAAAAAAAAAAAAAAAAAAAGAAAAGAAAATGAAGAATACCAAAATAGTTATATCTAAAAATACAATATACAACTGGAATATAATCAAAATGGAGATAAACACCTATCTATACATTTTAATAATTTTTGAATGTAAAAAAATGTATTTCGTGATATATCGGCGCGTATGGCATCCCTTTAATTCCACCACTTGCATCGTAAATTGTGATGGTCCTAAGTTGCCTAAGAGCAAAGTGCATAATAAGATAAAGAAAAAATATTTAAACTATAATGAATTAAAACACAGTGTATAATGGTGTTTGCCAGTTAACAAAAACGACAAGAAAAAATGAACTGTCTGAGAGGTGCAATTTTCAATCTACATATAATATCGTATCTTATACGAATAATCTGTTTTTTCTTTCTTTTTTTTTCTCTCTTCTTTTTTTTTTTTTAAAAGAAAAAAAAGAAAACCTTATGTTAGTGACAACGTCTAATCATATTATTGTAATTGCAAGTCAAGAGCCAACCTCTGCTTTGTATGAAACGAGCGCCTATTAGCAATAATTTTAGATGCAACCCTTCTCCGTTTATGCGAATTAATATTAATATAAGTAGAAGAAAACAAAAATATTATATATATTAAAATCATTAATGTAGAATATATATTGTGTTTGGCCAACCAAATTGTACAACATATATATTCATTATTGTATTTAGTGATTTTGTATATTGTTTAAGAAAAGCAAAAAAAAAACAACACAAGTGGATAACGTCACGTCGAAATTGCCTTTGAATTTACTGACCTTTAAAGGGGTCTGTAGTATTACTGTACTAAGGTGTCATATTATGCATAGTATAACTATATGATATCGAACAAGTATATGCACTGAAAAAAAAAATATAAGATAAAATAAAATATCAAAGGCATTTTTCGCTCGTGTATTAATAGGCCTTAAAAAGCTTCAAATTGAATGTTCTTGAGTGAGATATATTGTATGGTATGTTACATTTTGTTGGATAGCGTTCAATTGTGAATTTTTTCTTGAAACTTGAAGTGAAGAAACTACAGAGAAAAGGAAACAGAAACGAGAAAGAACACATGCATATTCTACGTGATAAAAAATCAAACAAATTAATATAATATATAAATCTATACTTGTCGTATTTAAGAACAATTTTTTTTATTATTATTACTTTTTTTAGTTGGATAAAATTCGTAACTTCATTAATATTATTTAGTTAATTTTTGTGTCAATATTTTGACAAAAAAAAAGAAATATATTATTATTATTATTATTATTATTATTATTATTATTATTATTATTATTATTATTATTATTAGATTTGTTATTTCTAATTTAATTAATATACAACATTTGCTCTTGAGTGTATGAAAAAGCAAAGCTAAAAAATAGAAACAAGATAATACATAAAAATTATTATTTTCATGGAAGATTTTTATTGTTTCTTTTTAATCTTTAGCACAAAAAAAGTGATCGTGAATGAAAATTAATATAAATGTATAAAAGAAAGTAAATTTAATTTTATTGTATTGACAATAGATACGTATACTTTTCTGTGATTTCTATTCTCTCACAGTTTCAATGATGTTAAGTAATTTTTACTCTAAATATTGTTTTTTTTACGCAGCAGCCGCGTATAGAGAAAACTCGAGAAGTAAAACGAATTCTAATTTTATATCTTCCAGTGGCTTCCACTCTGCATATTTACTGCGGTGTCCACATATGTGCGACTGTAAACACACACATACACACACACAACGTGCTTTAAAAGAGAGAAATGCATAATTACGATTTATGATTAATAGATTTGTACAAATAACAATTCCTTCACAGTAGAAGAAGAAAAAAGAAAAAGAAAAGATATTCGGCTGCAGCACAATTATAATGTTTCTGTTTTAGTTGTTGGATGTGTTTTAGAAGATAAGATTTAAATCAGCTATAGAATCTGTTGTGTTTTTATTTTTACACTTCGTATGGACTCTCAGCTGATATTAGATAAAGTTTTCATTCCTATCAAAATGTCAATTGGATATTTTGAAAATGTAAAGATCATCATCCCGAAATCGATCAATCATATGCGTACATATATCTATATATATAATCATCCAGAAGAGAAATTTTATTGTTACAAACCTCTTTCCCGTGTCATTTTTACTAGAATAATATAAATAATTTTTGCCTTTTTTCTTTCTGTTAAAAGTAAATCAAAACAAAATTTAAAAAAAATAAATAAAAAATTAAAAAAAAAAAAAAATGAAAAAAAGAAAAAAAAATACAAACATACATGAATTTCACTTCTGGAACGCATAATATATTATGATCGTCATATTATAAGACACGATTTCATTTCTTACTCCCCTTTTTTTCCCCTAACCATAACACACTCCTAGAATTTCAAAGTGTCTTCGAATTAATTGTGTATGCGAATCGCGTATAATAATGTTTTATTTTTAATAAGGATGTAAGTGCGTAAAGTGTTAAGTGTCTTGTATCAGCTGCATTTTACTTATCGATTTTAATTATTATTATTATTATTATTATTATTATTATTATTATTATTATTATTTGTATTATTATTATTATTATTATTATTATTATTATTATTATTATTATTATTATTATTATTATTATTATTATTATTATTTCTTTTTTTCTTTTGGTTTATTTTTTTTTTTTTTTTTTTTACTACTACTTTTTGTTAAAAACTTTGTATCATTTCATTTTAACATGTATAGTCCATCGAAATCGCATAGATATACTCTACGTTAGGACTCAACGTTTGCTGCTTTGTTTGGCTGTTACTTATTAAGCAGCAGAAGCAGGATCAAAAGATCCTTGAGAAGATTAAAAAGGGGATGAGATATTCAGCGTATTAAGGATATATATTTCTTCGATTCCCTTTTTTTGCTTTTCTCAACCCCATTCCCCCCGCCCCCTCATTCCGAGCCAGCGGCAGCGTGTAACATTAATAACACAAAAGCCAAGCGAAGAACCGAAAGTAGCAAACGCAGAGAAACGATATTCGCATCGCGAATTTCTTATTCTTTTTTTTTTTTTTTTTTTTTTTTTTTTTTGTTCTTTCTCTCAATAAATACTTGCCATTTATAATGTTAGTTGCCATAGTTTGCTGCTATTTGTTTTTGTTTTGCGGTAGAGGCCAGATAGACATAAGCGTACACGGCATTTTATGCAAAACACGAATCCGCGAATGCTGATACCACTACGTATTCTGTAAATATTAGTCTGTCCATTATATACATATATCTACATATATATATAATATTTGTGTATATATGTATATATATATATATATATATATATATACATATATATATACATATATATATATATACATATATATATATATATACATATATATATATATATACATATATGATTATATACATAATGCATTGATTATATGCTATTATACAAAAATATATGATCATGAATTATCATTTCTTTTTATTGTATATTCTTATTTTTTTGTGTACTTTAATTCTTCATAATATTCGTAGTAATATAGCTGTAATTATATATACAATAATTATATTGTAAGAAGAGAAGAAAAATATTTCTAAGGAAAGTTATATATATATATATTTTACTCTTATTTTTTCTTGTTTTTTTTCTTTTCTTTTCTTTTTTTTTATTATTATTATTATTAATTTCTTTTTTTCTTTTTTTTTTTTTTTTAAGATGCTTTCGATGTAAATTACGTATTCTTTGATTATATACGATCGCTCGAGAACGAATAAATTATTATCAAAGTCATTTTTTCTTTTCTTGCGATCTCTCTCTCTTTTTAGAGATAAACGTCTATTTAAAGACTAATTTTTACTAAAAGTCTGATATATTATATATGCTTTCGAAATTATAGATCATATAATATATAATCGCTTACTTCTCATACTTGTAAACACTATCTCTTTCTCTTTTCATATATTAAAATTTACTCTTCCATTATATTTAAAAGTGTTTTTAATTTTTTTCCTATATATATCGTCAGTTATAATATATAATTCTAATTCTAATAATAATAATAATAATAATAATAATAATAATAATAATAATAATAATAATAATAATAATAATAATAATAATAATAATAATATTAATATTAATAATAATAATAATAATAATAATAATGATAATGATAATAATAATAATCAGTTAAAAAATATGTAATTCTTCTCTTGTTACATATATTTCGATTTTATTTTTGTAATCTAACTTTTATGCCCACGTCCCCACCCCCGTCCCAACCTGCATTTTGATCCATATTAATATATTAAATTGTTTAATTGGAAAACTACGCGTTGAAATATAATCCATGTATATGATTATACGATTAGAATTACTTTTGTGAAAATGAGTACAAAACGTACGATTTTTATATGTTATGAATGAATTCTTTATTTATCCGAGAGATTATGTCAAATGAAATTTGCGCTGTTATATTATTATTTTTGTATTATTATAAATTACAACATATAAATATGAAAATTTGTAATTCTCTTACTCTACACAAGATTCTTAAACGAACGAAACATTTAACAATGTATTCTAAATTCTCGTAATTTTATCTCGAAACAGTATTATGAGCAAGGTAATGACTTCGCATTAAGATTAAAAAAAAAAAAAAAAATAATAATAATAATACTATTAATACTACTACACTACTACTACTAATAATAATAATAATAATAAAGACAAACCATAGTAAACTCATTAATAATATACGAAACTTTATACTTCGATTATAGCTGTTTTTACTCTCAACCATATCTATCTGTGAATATTTAATTAGTAGAGAGATAATGCTGATTTTTTTGGTGAATGAATTTATTCCAAAATCCTCGCTAATGTTGCATATTGTCTAATTATAAAAATTTAGTGAAAAGAAATCTTTGCTTTCTGACACAAACACACATAAATACACACACATGCACACACATACATACACACACATACACACACATATATACATATATATATTTCATGTGAAATTAAATTTAAAGCGTTTTCATTAAATTAGCGATTACCAAAAAAAGAAAGAAAAAAGAAAAGAAAAAAACCAACTGGTATTAAAGGTAATTTCATTAAATATCTTCTAGGACTTATTTGTTATAAATAAGGAAGGATATTACGTTAAACGACAATACCATGTGGTACCATGCCTTAACACACACATGTACGATGTTAAATATATCTCTATATATAAGATATACACAATCTCTTTGCAAATATAATTGATGTTTTTTCAATCTGTGAACACATTATATATATATATATACACACATATATTACTAAAAAAAAATATATATATAATATTAAAACATACTTAATTTTTACAAAGAAAGTTATATGTGATGTCACAGTGTCACAAAGTCTCACTTATGGTGTGAAAATGATGATTAGCGTGTCAACGATTTTTTACAAGTGTGCATAAATAGAGAGAAAGAGAGAGAGAAAGAGAGAGAGAGAGAAAGAGAGAGACGAAAAGAAAGAGAAAACAGATTAATAGTTTTCAATTTACTCCTAATAATAATTAAAAAATACTCGATATATCTTTACATTAAATATATCTCATATGAATGAAGAATTTTAACGCTTTTGGATATTATTAACACACGTACTGGTTATTATATTATATATAGAATCCATTTTTTGGTGTATCGAGTTAAAAAAAAAAATATATATATATACTCTCTGCTAAGTTAGATTAATCGTGAGGCAATGTGTACAGTAACTGTAAATATATGAAATAACATTGTTTAACAAGTGTATGGATATAATAATATACAGGGTGTTTCGAAACGAGATAGCTACTTCTCTCTGATTCTCAACATTAGAAACATTTATCGCAAAAGATTAAAATTAA